ACTCTTTCCTGCTTATGCAGGGGGTCGGACTCGATGATCTATTGAGGTCCCTTCCAACCCTAACATCTATGAATCTATGAATCTATGGTTGAAAGTAGAACTATGTCCAAAGCTAAGTATATACATTCTGAGGTAGAGACAATACCCCCAAACATATTTAGGGACCTAAACATATTTAGAGACCTAAATTAATGTAATTAAGGATGTACAACAATTTCAAAATCTTAAAACTTTTCTCTTGTTCCATTTTAGTGGCACACTATTCATTGTTACAAAGCATGAAACAATAATCATTAAAGACATGCAAAATCATCATCTTTCATGTTTATAAAAAATATTTTAAATGCTATTTTTCTATAATGACTGTAAAAGAAAAGATGTTTCATGGAGGGCATGAAAGATATTTATGCACTGCGTGGTGAATGTGGTTAGAGAACTCGAGCTGTATTTTAATTAGACACTGAAACACAAGAGACCATGTGGTAGCTGATTAATGCATACCTTTAGTGTGCAGTGAGGTGAAGCCAAGGGCCTCCGTCAAACAAAGGTTGTGAGTTAATTAGCATGAATGCATAGTCTACTGTGCACTATTGTGATTACAGTATAAAGTTGATACATGTAGAATGAACTCATTTATGATCTTAGTTGACACTCTAGTTAGCAGTCTCAGCAGTGAGATCAATGATTGGTAGAAGCTCCTGAAGTCCCCTTTTATTCTGGTCAGCCCTCATGTGGACTGCTATAGGGGTCTAATTACTTCTTCCTTCTTTCCAAGTGATTGGGTAAGGATTATACAGAATATACCTATTTTATTAAAGAAAAAATTCTGCCTACAGAGAAAGAGAGCTCTTTAAAAAAATCAGGCTTTACATCATAGGTCCTTAAAGTCTTTGCATTTGTGTCCCATTCAGAGCCCAACTTCTGAATGTCTGCTATGTTCATGGCCCTCCTCATAACTGCTGTAACCTTACTTGGGGCCATGACCCCCCAGTCTGGGAACTGCTGCCTTAAAGGAGACACTGAAAATGCTTGACTGTGAAAAAGACTTACAGGACACATTTTTTCTTTCAAACTTCCTCCATAATGTCATATTTTATACTTCTGATGGAAGCATATAATAAAACACATGTAAAACTCAGTTCAAAATCCATCCAATTTAATGGAATGGAGAGCAACAACATTTCTAAAAAGTAATTTTCTGTGAATTGGAAGAACATTCATAACATGAAAGCTAGATGGATTTTTGATTGAACCTTATATAAATAAATTCTACCTCGGTATAAGGCTCTCTGATACAGCACCCTCTGATACCAAAATGACCTCAACCTTGCTTCTTGTCTACATTAAACCCCATTACCCTTTCAGTTTAACAGCATCTTTGTACAACTTTCTTGAGGTGGAGTTGTATAAGAAATTACTATGTAAGAATGAAGCTAGTCCGGAAAGAATTTCCAAAAGCAATATTTATATGCCACTTGTTTTTATGAATATTCTGGACATTTATCTTCCTTTGTGGTCAGTAATGGAATAATTAAGCTAAATATTAGAGTTTTGTTACCCATAATATAGTAGGGTACAAGTCAATTTAATTTATTTAGATCTAAAACTGTGCTGGTATACAAACCTGGAGTTTTAGTTATTGTTTCATTAACTTCTCTCACTCCTTTACCTACAAGTAAAAAGACAAATTATCATTTGCATGAACATAATTATTTTTTTATAGAATGCTACAACATAATGCTTGATTGAAGCAATTATCCCTTTGCCAGTAGGCCTAATTTTATTATAGAGGCATCTAAAGTCTAGAACACACTGCAGATTCTAACCCATATATTTTCACACATTCATCAGGATAACAATTCGTCAGCACTACCATTTTTAGCCTGGCAAGTTATTTGTCTACTCAGAAGTTTAATGTGTTTAGGCCTAACATTTATTGGTTTTGTATCAGCCTTAGAGCTATAAAAGAGAGCCTTATAGTGAGGAAAAAATCTTGATATATGCAGGCATAATAATTACTAATTTTTTATAATGTGTAAACATAAACTGAAGGTGGTTTAGAATTGGAACAAGCTACCTAGAGAAGTTGTAGAATCTCTATCCCTGGGCATTTTCAGCAGCAGGTTAGACAGGTACTTGACTAGGATAGTTTAATCAGGAATGCTCCTGCCATGAACTAGATGACCTGCTGAGGTCCCTTCTATACTTTCCTATCATGTTAAATGTAAAAATTACTACTGGTAAATAACAATAGGTTTACAGAACAAACCAAAAAAAGAGACTGTTTAGGTGCAATGGACCAGAACCCAAACATACTTAAATTAGCACAGATCCATTTAAATCACTGGATCTATTTCAATTTGCACTAGCAAAGGTTTGGATCCCATATTTTTGAACATCTTAAAAATCCCAGAATCTGGAATTGTTCTGTTGCATGCTTTTTTCTCACAGGAATTCAAAGTGAAATGGTCCCTGTACATAGAGTACACAAAAGGCCTATGAACCACTTATGTTTACTTTAAAGAAATTATTGATACTTGTATAGTGCTACTTTTGTATTCCTTGTTTTCCCAGGGGATTAATTTTATCTATGGCTCTTTCTGAATTTCATGAAAATATTAGCACTACTAGAAAATTGTTCTCTTCTCTTGTAGATTATTTTTAAGGCCAGCAAACAATATAGAGGAGGAGAGAAAACAGTTTTAACTTCATTTGAAGGGTATCCCAAGTTACTCTCCACCACGAGTAGTAATATACCGGAGCAGTGAAATATTGTTATTCAGGGAGTGGACAAAGAGCTTTATGCCTAGACCACAGTTTATTGTAGCAGTGTTGAAAAAGAACAGCATGACAGAACCTTGGAGTAAACCCACCAGTTGTCTGTACATTAATACTGTTTTCATTTGTTTTCTACCGTTGCCTAAATGTCATATGCAGGTAGTTAGTCAAGATCTCATAATCTTTTTATTACAAACATTAACATCCAGAAAGACCCAGAGACATAAAACCACACACATTTAAATAAAAAGGCCAAATTCTGCTCTGAGAATTCAATATCCAGAATTACACTACTGGTATTATATGACATTGATGCTGGTGTAACCAAAGTAGAAATTGGCCCAATGGCTTAGTTTCAGTTTCTTTGTGTTGGGTTGTTTGAGATTATTTTAAAAGAAGCATGTCCTTCATGAATAAAAAAAAAATGATGTAATTTATTCAACATGCCTCAATGACTCTAAAAGCCAGTCTGCTATGAAATAACTTTATAATTTCTTTTTTTAACTAAAAATTGCTACATATGTATGTTAAACACTGAAGACATATGCAAAGACTGAAACACAAAAGGAGAAAAAAGTGCCCAGTAAAGAGTTATATTCTGTTATTTAGTTGGCCTTTAATACCAAAAAATACACAGTGATAAGTGATATTTTGTGTTACTTCATTTCTCTTTATTAACTGTATATTTAATGTTTTTCCTCATTGAGTTTAGACTGGTGTTGAAAAAAGTTTGGCTTTCTCTGTTTCTGTGAAGCTCTTTTGATTATATGTCATTTTAGAGATTTTAAATGTTAATGTTCAATAAGCAAAATCAAACTAATATACACAATAAAATCAACAGAATTATGCTAAGAAAACAATGTAATGCAATTAAGTACAATGCAGTGAATCACTTGATCAATGACTTACTTTTACATATCGGTGATTTTCCTGTCCATTTCATATCTGGTTTACATGTCCGATGTTCTGATCCACCAGCAAGAAAAAATCCTGGCTGACAGGTGTATACCAAAGTGTATCCTAATGTAGGAAGATCTATCGCTTTCACATCCACATGCGCAGGTGTCTCTGGTTGTCTGCAAGCGTGAGCTGAAAGTGTTTTTTTTTTACAGTTAGAAAAAGCTGCAGGATCTATGTACAGAATTTAGAACAAGCACATGTTAACTCATTGCCTTTCATTAGAAAAACTTGCTACTCTTTAAGTGACAAGTAATTTTCATGTTTTGACCAGAAATAGCACTAAGACTCGGGCTGCACTGTAGTGGAAAGTTGGAACTGATGATCTCCTCATATAAACTATTTCTGCACAATATATTGAAATGTAATTATCATAGGAATAATAGGAAACTAGGGCTGAAAGGAACCTCACAAAGTCATCTAGTTGCTCAAAGGAGGATCATTCCAGACTAAATCATCCCAGCCAAGTATATGTCTAACCTGCTTCTGAAAGTTTCCAAGCATGGACACTTTATGAAGGTAAAGAGTTAAAATGAAGAGAAACCAAGGTGCATGTCATTGCAAATTATGCAGTAATGAGTATTGTGAATTATCGTACTGTCAGAACTTCAAGTATCCCCTGTAATCAATATCTCAGAAAACCTTGAAGATTACAGATGGGCTATTGTCTAAATAAATTAATTGTAAACTTAAAATGAAACTGTTTCCATAGAAAGATTTTTTATCATAGTACACTGTATATAACACATATCACTTTCAATTTTTCTATTTTTCTGAACTACTTTGTTCATTTGTAACATCACAAAGTTAATTGAAACAGGGTAAGAATCTAAGGTTACTCTAATGGTTTATTTTTGTGTTAGATGAGTGTATTTTTCAACCATCATGCAAATCCCAATAGTAATCAAATATGTCCCTAACCAGAGCCCAGAAAACTGTTAGTCTTATTTTATAGTTCATAACATTTTACCCAGCAAAACATTATTTTGCATACCAGGGGCCATATTCTGCTCTCAATTTATTAGTGCAAATGAAAAAACTACTTTAATTTCAACCTTAATTTCTACATTAATGTACTAGCATTCCATACACACCATTTTCCCAAAATCAGCCTTATGAAAAGGAGGTGCATGTCTTAAGTGTGGAAGCTGATTTTCTTCTCCAGAATAGAAGCAGACAGGAATAGAAGCATGAAGACAACGTGCTTCAGAATGCCTCCCATCTTCTCTTCCCCTGCCAGTAAGCAGGAGAACAACCCAATGTTAACCCTTTCATAGCTGCTCTCAAACTAGAAGCATTGTTTGGTTGAATTACTGCTACTTTGAGAGTGACTATGCCTGAACTGTGCCCCTTATGCTTGCTGACAGGGAGAGAGAACCTGGAAGACATTATGAAGTGATATGTTCATGGTATCTTCATGAAAAAAGCCATGTTAGGCCATGACTCTGGAAGACATCTCTTTTCTACATTCTGCCTTTTAAAAACAAGATGTGCATTTTAGTTGAGGGGGTGTGGTATGCAAGAAACTATGGTTATGACTTTGAACTGGTGAGAGCAGAATTTTTCCCAAAAGCATTAATATAATTATTGTGAGCACCATTAAAAGGTATCGCCAATGTCTACTGCACAAAACATTTGGAATACTGAAACAATACTGGACGCAATGAAGTTCCTGAAAATACATTAAAAGGCATGACAACAAATCAGATAAATTAGGATGAAATAGGGTAATAGTCTGACTAGATGGGGACATTTTGGATGATAAAAAAAAGAAAAAGAAAAATGGTTTAGCCTCTCATTTTGATATACTCACTATGCCTGGTTCTTTCATGATAGGTGCCAATCAGAAATTATATGATTAATTACAATTAAAAAAATAGATGGACACTAACATTATGTCAGTTAGATTCAGCTTGTATCTGTGTATCTTATGTATTGTAGGTATGTAAATATTCAGAAAATCCTAATGATTAATTGCAGAGAGAAATGCAGAGAAGCACCACAACAGTGCGTTACCTGCATAACCACGCTAAACAATGGAACTAGTAATGAGGAAGACAGTCTTTTATCCTGCCAAAACACACTTTCTCTGCAATTAAAGCATAGATAAATTGACCTAAAATTACTTAATAACACTTTGAAATTAATTAATCTTTAGCAGTACTGTGAACTGTTTTTATACCCAACAATTTTAAACAGGAAATAACTGTGGTGAACTATACATTGTACCTGTTGATAAGCACAGTTTTTTTCCATGATTAGTATTCCATATTAGCTATTGTGGGATTTAAAAGTATTAATTTATTACTCTGTCAAAAATTGTGTGAGACCAAAAATGTATAGAAAGAAAGTACTTACGAATGCATTCTGACTGTATGCCACTCCAAGTTAAGTTTGCAAGGCAAGAACGAGTTGTGGAGCCCTGAATATGATAGCCTTTTCTACATCTGAAAAAGACTGTGCTCCCAACCTAGAGGATCAAAAGTGGAAACGATGACAGAAAACAGGAAATCAGCCTTTGCCATCAATTTGACAACACAGTTATAGGCTACTTGCTTGATTTTAGGAAAATATTTTCTGTGTGTCATCAGTTTGCCTTTTACAGTGTTAGAATTTTTCCCTATGGAATAAAAGGTTTAGCAACTGGTCTCTTTCATAACAGTGAAATTGAAGTTATCTGGAACTGAGAAGTGGAGAAAAGATGGGAAAACTTGAAATAAAAAAAAAAAGATGACACTCTATACCTCTCAGCCTTTCAGCCTGCCAATGTGTGACAGAAGCAAACTGAAAGTGTGACAAAGGACTGAAATACAGCTATATTTCTCATTCACCAGATTATCTCTATTGTAATATATATGATTATAAATGTATTTTACATATGGTTCTCAATGTATCATTTTATAACCATTGTTTAAAAAGATATCCTGGCCTGTGCAATCACCTACCATTAAATCCATAGAAAATTAATTTTAATTTAATTTAATTTAAATGCATTGTTTGCACTGGATTTGTGATCATTTACTACTTGAGTTCTGCTGGAGGTGTTCAAGTACCACAGTACTGATAGCTACTACTGAAAGCTGCATTTTGATCAGGTGGGATATAACCTCTATTATGAAGGGTAAAATGCTAGCCTGAAAGTGAAGAAGGCTGTTCTCTAAGAAACTGTCATAAAGAGAAGAAAGCAATCATTTTCTTTAGAATCCTGTTGAGGAAAATAAAATATGGAAACTGGGTATGACTTTGCAACTGACAACTGAATTTTTTTTTTCATAATGGAAGTGGTAGAAAGAGATTGCTGGGAAAGTTTTTGTACAGATGGAATTGATGGTACTGAAAAAAAAAGTCCATGGCAAGGCTTCAAGGTATAACAACTGAGGGTGAACAGCTGTCCAGTTATGGATTGGTTTTGTTGGCTGAGGAGAGTTGGTGATAGTTTCGCTGAAGGAGAAAGGAAAGAGCTGGAGGGGTTAAATCTAAATATATATAGATTCATAGATTCATTTATAGATTGTAAGGCTGGCAGAGACCTCAGAAGATCATTGGGCCCAGCCAAAGAAACATGTCTAGATGGAAATGAACAATAGTAGATGTATAATAATAATACTTTTCAGTTATGATTGTACATAGTTTTACAATGGCTAAGTTGATCTGGATATAGACACTACACAGGTGTGTAAGAACTGTCATTCCAATAAATAAAATAGACATTTAGAGAGATACTAAGGGAAAATTGTCCAAGACAGGCCCTAAATGTAAAGCTCTATTCATCCTATATAACTTTATATAAGTTAAAGAAAGGTAAATTGGTTATTATAGATGTTCAGCAACTGCAACTCCAGATAACTCTTAAAATTAGGCCACTTTCTTTGAGGTCCAACTTAGAGGCATGAATTTATACACTCAGGTGTTTTACAGTTTTTTATCCAGTATCCTATCTATAAACACAGGGAGACAGAGATAGTCTATGGAAGAGACTAAAACAGAACCCATATATACCTCATTCTATGTACTAGTTTCTTGTAGAAAATGTCAATTATGATATCAGTGAGTTGCAATATGGGTACCAAAGAAATCTGAAAGTTCTTGTCCAGAAGACATTTTAAAAGTCAAGGAAAAATGAAGCATCTTTGTTCACACCAGTAACTGAGTTTGGTTTCTTTCTCCATACTATAAAATAAAATGAGGTAATACATTCTTCATCTAGCTCATCAAAATATGGTCTGAAAGAGGGAACCATCTATGAAAGTCAGAGTAGTGAAGAAAATAAATGCAGGTAAGATGAATTATGGTACTGGTAGGCAAGTGAGAAACACCATGAATAACTCTTCTTCAAAGCATCTTTCTCTAATGAGGGTACTCGCACATGCCCTGCTAAAAATTAGTCTGTAGCAGTGGATAACTCATTGAAACCAGATGCCCTAAAAGCCATCTCACTTGGTGAATGCATTTATATTTCAAGATTCAATTACTACTACTTTGTTATTACTAGGAATGAAAGCACATACCTCTGGAAACCTAAGTCTATAAAGGGTACTAGGAGTGGTAGAAAGTGTGTTGGAGTATTTATGATCCAAAAACTAAAATTTACTGCTCATGTGGGTAGATGAATAAGAAAGAAGAAATGCAATATAATGAAGCTATACAGAAAGAGTAAAGCTGAAGTTGCAGGCTTGTCAGGGTAAGTGACAAGCTAAAACCACTCAAGAATGGCAGATTGAGAGAGAACTGGCAAGTCCAGGAGTTTCATAGGTTCATAGTACTAGTCAGAGGACTCTGTTAAAGAGAGGCTATTGTAAACTTCCATTGCACACTTGCAAATAATACCTGATGGAATTTACTTAATAAATGCTAATCTTTCTGAACAAAGAACTTCATTGACCCATTATGTTTTTATGTACTTCTGTCACTTTTTTAGTCATTTTCAAGATCGACACTTAATATGCTAATAACTCAGGTACAATAAAGAGATTATAAGGACACACATCAAAG